TGATGGGACTGCAAAGTGATACAACCACTGTGGAAATCAGTATGGCAATTCCTCAAAAAGTCGGAATTAGAAATACCATTTGACCCAGCAATCCCATTACTAGGTATATATCCTAAATGAGAGCCATGACACGAACAGACGCACACTAACGTCCATTGCAGCACTATTCACAGTAACAGAAAGATGGAAACCACCTAGGTACCCGTCCATAGAAGAGTGGGTAACCAAACTGTGGTACATACACACAATGGAATACTATGCAGCACTAATAATGTAGAATCCACAAAACACCACACAACGTGGATGAACTTGGAGGACACTATGCTGAGTGAAATAAGTCGATCACAGAAAGATAAATATTGTATGAGTCCACTATTGTAAAAAGTCAAGAAAAGGTTTATACACTCAAGGAAGCTTTCTTTGTTGGTTCCCGAAGATGGGAGGGAAAGGGAGAGAACACCACTAGACAGGTAGAGACGAGTGAAGGGAGGGATGATGTTCCAAATGTGAGTGATCAACACAGTGGCACTGAAGAAGAGGAAGACAGACAGACAGGCGTGGGAGGTACAGACAACAAAGTTGAACCCTTCTGCACGTACAGCACTGTGTTGTCAGTGATGGAAACCTTTGATCTAGGGGTGGACAGATGGGTGGGTAGGCTGAATGATCAAGGATGTCTAGGCAGACCAGAACCAAGACAGTGCCTGGCTACCACTATCAACCATTCTATGTAGGAGATCCTGGATAGAGAGGGAGAACAATGTGGAACAAAACCCAAAATCATTTGGAAAAAAAAAGGGGGACCAGGTTTGCTGGTCTGATAGAGCCTGGTGGAACCTCTGAGACTATGGCCCCTAGCTGCCCTCCAGGTCTAGAACTAAACCCACTCCTGTGGTTTCCAGCCAAACAAAAGATAGGCATATGAGCTGAACATTTACACTAGGTAGATATACTCCTTGGAGGGATCAATCATGGGAGAACGGAAGGGCTGTGTTTGCACAGGAAATGCAGGGAGGGACGGACACAGGGAAGAGGTAACTATGGGGAGGAAGTGGGAGGGGAGCTGTTGCATTGTGGGAGATTACAGTCAATGTCATGAGACAAAGTGTATGTGAACTGCTGTAGGGAAAGTGAATTTGCTCTGTAAACTTTCACCCAAATC